ACTGAGAACTGAAACTAAACGGGCGGGTGTGACGGGTAGACTAGGCCAGTGTTCCGCAACCCCCGGTCCGCGGATCAAATGGTGCCGGGCCGCCTAAAGAACATAAATTGTTGCCATTTTATTTAAAGTGGTGCATTTCTCTCGGATTTGCGCAACTTTCCACAGAAATCACTTTATATTCCACATTAAATCACTTTTATTCTTTTTTGGTGTAACTATATTTTATTCTGAAGGCCTATTTAAATGTAACTGAATTAAAATTGTTAAATCAAAACAATCTAAAATATATTCAATCAACGTGTCCCACCCTCAGCAGGCCGCGGTAAAATTATCAAACGTTGACCGGTCCGCAGCGATAAAAAGGTTGCGGAGCACTGGATTAGACAACTCGCCGCGTCGCTATCATCGCGCCTGCTACTGGATATAATCTAAGCATCCCACTTTGTCAAGTTGTTTCTACTAATTCTCCACTGTAAAACGGCAAATTCATTGTATTACTTTGCACAGTTTGTTTTAGGTTTTAAAGCGTAAACTGTAGTAAATTTTTATTTTAAATAATTCATTAATTCTATGTCATAAGTCATAAATTAAATCGTTAATATCCTCCGAGGTCATTATCGGGATGGTCGCGCAGACTACCTAAAATGTCTTCGCGGTCGACGTTTTGATCACCCTTGACCTAGGTAATCAGCTACGTACTTTATCTGTTCTGATGTGGCTTTCATCCGACAGTGTTCCTTATAGCCTCGAACCCACTTTTGGTTCGTCAGTACCGGCATGGCTAAACTATTTCACGGAGTTAGGATTCTTCTAACTTTATCTCAAATCACTTTACAGATAACTCTCTACTTAGCGACTTCACTTCCCACTTAGCACTTCTGCATATAGATAGAAACCCGTACATAGACTCTCTCTATTGCTAACTTCCAATATAAATATATGATTCCTAATTTACATAACCACGTTCTTCTTCTTGAGTTGGTTGGAAAGAATTGCCATTTCGGCCCGAAAGAAACCCCAAGAGGACATTAATAGAAATTGCGATAAAAGCCCCGTCACAAACTGACATACGGAATGTTATGATAAGAAAAACCAGGAGTTTTTAATAAATTGTATTTTAAAAGCTATCAGAATTTTTTATGCGATTTAATGTTTAGAGAATGAAATAATCTTTCAGGTTCAAGAGTGTCTATAGAACATAGTTAAGTTTCTTACACTCACCCTATATATATTTACTAGCTGTATGGCCCGGCGTTGCACGGGCTTTCTGTACTTATATAAGTAAAAGCTTCAGTAAAATATACTTTTTCGAAATTTCTTTGCGTTGCAGTTTTTAGAAATATTGTGTACTTTTCAGAGTAAAAAAATGCTAACACTCATATGGGCATTGATAAAATAAACGTAAAGTATAACAAATGAAATTGATAAAAGTGTCGTATTTTATTTTTCTTAACATTTAAAACAACCTACTTTTTAAAAAAATTAAAAATCATCAGTTTTATTATATTTTTCAAAAATAATATATGATTAATTATGTTATGTTCATTATTTTACATATGTGTGTAAAAGAAATTTAACATTCAAGAAATATTTTAATAAACGAAAAACACAATTTTTAAAAAAAAAAAAACCCCGTAATTTTTTCAATTTTTGTACAGATTACGGAGATTGATAAAATATCTTAAAATATTACGGTTTTTTTTTTAAAAAATTGTGTTTTTCGTTTTCTTCCCTTTTTGCAAGAATTATTTAAGCATTATTTTTGTTAATTTTTTTGTTTAAAATATTACCGTTGTTTGCAATCGATATATGGAATTTCAAGGCATTAAAAGGATCATTTTCATATAAACACATCGATATTGATTCATTTTAAAAGAAAAAATCTTAAATTATGTAAAGTATCGCTGTTTTGTAAAAAAAAAAAAAAAAAAAAAAAAAAAAAAAAAAAAAAAAACACTGTATCGTGACGAAATAAATTATCTTTTCAATTACAAACTTGCTGGCGAAGTTTTTAAATGCGTGAAAAAAATTTGAAGTATTTTTATAAAATCATAAAATTTAAACGTCAGTTCCGAACCCGGGTACTATTGTCCATGAAGAAGCGCCTTTACAAATTGCACCACAACTCCTTGGAGAAGTTCAGACAAAAGACCTTCAAAATAATAAGAAGAAATGTTCAATTTCGCATTGCGTTATTTGATAAAGTTAAAAATTCTTTTTTGGGCTTCATTTTTAAGTTAATGCATTCAAACTTCATACATCGATTGCAAACAATGGTAATTTTTAAACAAAAAACTTTAAAAAAAAATAATGCTTACATATTTCTCGCAAAAAGGAAAAAAAAAACAATGAAAAACACATTTTTTTTAAAAACCGTAATTTTTAAGATATTTTATCAATCTTTGTACAGATTATGCATAATATTGTTCTACACACGAAAAAAAAATTCTTAAGATTATTTTTATAAATAAAGAAGTTATCAAGTATTTACATAAAATTTTGAGGATCTTTTGAAAAATCGTAAAAAAAAAAAAAAAAACGGTTTTTGTCATTAAATTTTTTAAATGACTGATTCTAAAAGAGAAAAGTATGAACTTTTTTAGGATAAAATATTTTTTTTATTAGCGCGAAAGAAAATGCAAGGGGCACGATTTAGAAATCATACTCATAAAAATGTATAGATTTCGACTCATCGTAAAAAATACAAAATATAATTATTTTGTAAAATAAATTATACCATATCGTGGCGAAGCAAATGATCTTTCCGAATCTGTAATTATTTTTTGTCTGAGTCTCATGAAAAAAATTAGATCGCATTTTACAAACGTCTGAAAAAAAAGGTCCGAATTTTCCCCTGGTGATACAAAATGGTACTAATTATGCGTTTTAAGGTTTTTAATTAATATCTTTTTAACTAATTGGAATATCGGAATATACTGTCCCTGGCCAAATTATTAGACGCACTCCTGTTTTTTAATAATTAATGGTTTTATAAAAGTTTATATGCAATACTTTCACTTTTAAACATAGATCCAATGGATTTTTAATGAGGAAATTTATTATATATTTTGTATTTGTATTTATTTCTCCACATGGCAACACGAAGTTAATAAATTCTCACACGAACGTAAACAAGTCTAAACCTGTTCGAGTCGCGTTCGCGCATACTTCAGTTGCGGACGTGATTCTGTGGGTTAATGTGCTGTTTGTTAATTTAGCAGTTTTATATTACGCAGTTATTTGTTTATTTAGTGTGCGGTGTTTAAATAATCACTTTGTACACTTTAAACATGGGTAAAAAAGGAGATCTGTCACCATGTAAGAAATCAGAAGTAAAGGCCTTTGTGAATGCAAAATTGTTTTCAAACCGCGAAATATCACGAAGGTTGAAAGTTTCTGAAGCTAGTGTACGACGCATGAAGAAGAAAATTGAGTCAGGGGAAGAATTCAGCCCAAAAAGAAAGAAAAAATGCGGCAGAAAGCTATTTTCACCCCAAGGTCAGAAAGATCTTTAAAGAAAATTTGCCTTGAAAACAGATTTTCTACCACAAAAGTGATAAAATCGCAACTCCAAGATATTAATGTGAATGCTTCTGAACGCACTGTTCGAAGAAAGTTAAAAGATTTAAATTTTAAGACATGCCGCTCCGCCAGGAAGCCTATGTTTAACCCCTGCAATGAAAGCAAAGCGTTTGAATTGGGCCAAACAGTGGCGTGATAATGATGTAGATTTCTGGAGATCGATATGTTGTTATCATTTATTCACAAACAAAGCGTTTAACCATTTTCTATGATTACAAAAGAAACAGCAACGATGTTTATTTATTATTTTTTTTTATTTTTGATAGGTCTGCTTTAATGATGAAAGCACATTTGAAATTTTGCAGAACAAAGCTCAGTTTGTGCGTCGTCGTCGTGGAGAAAAGTTTCATTCTGACTGTGTTGTTCAGACTGTGAAACACCCTACAAAAATAATGATTTGGTCAGTCATCAGCGGCAAGGGTACTGGACGTCTGGACGTGGTTAAAGGTATGATGCGGCAAGACCAGTACAAAGATGTCTTGCAAAATCGCTTGATTCCGCAGCTGGAAGAATGGTTTCCAAATGAAGAATCATACATTTTTATGCATGGTGGAGCTCCCTGCCATACAGCTAGCTCGGTCTATCAAAGCTTTTTTGGCAGAACAAAATATCCTTCTGTTGTATTGGCCGGGTAATAGCCCTGATATGAACACAATCGAAAACATTTGGGAGTTAATGAAAAGAGAGGTGGCTTAAGATGTGATTACCAATAAAACGCAGCTCTTAGAAAGAATAATTCACGTGTGGAATCATCATCCTCAAATGCAGGAGACAGTACAGTCTTGTATTGATAGCATGCCGCGCAGAATTGAAGCTCACAGCGGCTAAAGGTGGCTCAGCAAAATATTAATATTTAAATATATTTGTTCCCGTTTTCTTTCAAGAGTCAATAAATACATATTTTTTCTTTAATGGTGATGTTTAATTTGTGATAATAGATTATTAAATGGACAACCAAGATACATACACTGTATACGATAAATACAAAAAACCTGTATAGTATCACCTGATAATTAATATTTTTCATAAAATCTTATAGTGTGTGTAATAATTTGGCCAGGGACTGTAAATGGTCAAAATGGATTCCTCGGATCATGCCCGAAATTTTGTTACTTTCGGCGAGTTCCTGCGTTGCGCGGTTCGTGAGAAGATAGGGCATCAAAGATACATACGTTTGTTTACCTACGAATTTTATACATATTTATTTATATATGTTCAAATTTTCAGTTGTTAATAAAATATTTTCTATTCATACCCTCAAGTTCAAATACATTTTTTAAAATTTGTCGTGAATGACACTTGATCTTAATAAAGTTTTTTCAAGCATTAATTGATTAATTAATGAATAAATAGAGAGAGAAAGTGACAAACGAAATAATAGTCCAACACCATATACAAAAAGGAAAATCGTTCGCAGTGTCCCTGTAGCGTAATGAACAGCGCGTTGGACTTCTAATCCAAAGTCATAGGTTCGAATCCTACCAGGGATGACTTAATTTCTGAGGAAGTGATTTGTAAATAGTAACAAACTAAAGTAATTGTCCAACACCATTTATAGAAAGGAAAATCGCTTTCTATTTTGCCACTCAATACTGTGATTCTGTCATAAGTATAAGCATATTTATAATAATTGTAATTATTTAATAAAAAGTAACTAAACTTTTTTCTTCATTGACCTAAGTAGGAATTGACTGAGCTTTTTTTTATACTGCTCAAAACAATTAGGGGAGCAAGCAAAAAAGTGAAGAAAACCGTGTGAGACAGCCACGTATTGGCATGCAATGCATGGTACACGCGTATCAATGCGCAATACAGAAAAATGGCGTAAAAAAATTTGGAATTAAGCTTTAATTCTTTGAAAATATGGAAAAAACATGAAAAGACGATTTAGGGCAACAATTTGGTTACATGTAAACGATAAAAAAAAGGTACTGTTTAGACATGATGCATGAGTTTTAATAGGGCGTGTGGTCTCCTCGAACAGCTAAGACTGCTGCACACCTGTTTGCCATGGATGCGATGAAGTTATCGATCAGACTTTGGGGAATACTGTTCCACTCCTCAAGAAGTGCAATCTCCAAGTCTCGGACAGTAGCAGGCGGCCTTGGTCGCGCAGCAATGCGTCGTCAGAGCATGTCCCAAACATGCTCGATTGGATTCAGGTCAGGAGAGCACGCTGGAAATTCCATACGCTGTATTGTTTCTGCTTCAAGCATGTTCTCCACCAGACGAGCTCTATGCGGTCGGGCATTATCATCCTGGAAAACAAAGGAATCTCCAATGGCTCCAGCGTAAGGGATGACATGAGGTCGAAGAAGTATCTCGTCTGCATACCTTCGTCCAGTCAAAGTGCCATTCCGAATGATATGCAGGTCCGTACGTCCGCCTATGCTGATTCCACCCCATACCATCCAACCAGCTCTTCTGTATTGTGACCTTTCACGGACGAATGCGGGGTTATTTCGAGTGCCCCTGTCCCTCCATACAAGAACACATCGGGTGTCACATTCTAGACTGAATAGGGACTCGTCTGTAAACAGCACTTGGCTCCAATCATGTTGCTCCCAATCGATGTTCAGCAGCCCATCTTCTTCGGGCCGCACGGGGGCGTGGGGTCAACGGAATGCAGACCATTGGCCTACGTGCATAGATCCCTTTCTCATGAAGCCGATTACGTACTGTTTGGCTGGACACCCTTCGTCCTGTTGCCAAGAGCAACTGTCTTTGCAGCTGCGTAGCATTCTCTGTTCTGTTTCGACGGGCTGTTAACTGTATATACCGGTCATCAGTTGATGTAGTGGCGCGTGGCCAACCTGCCCCTGGTCGACGTCTAACATTTCCTGTTTCTTGTAATCGATTCCACAGCCTTGCAACAACACTTCTGGCGACTCCAACAGCGTCCGCGACACCACGTTGTGTTTGCCCCGATTCCAGTTTGCCTATAACACGCCATGCCATGGATTCAGGTAAATCACGTTGTTGAGACATTCTCAAGTAACCTTGTCTCAAAAAAAAATACTGCGCAATCGAATTTCACAGTTACGGCAATAAAACAGACGTTTCTGCAACATCCCGATTTCTGCCCTTAACTCCTTTTTCTGGTTTTTGACGTCATGAACTTTGATTTGCATATAAAGTTTTCTTCTTCGGTTTCCTGGTAGGCTTTACATTATGGATAATTCATTTTATGTTACTTATTGGTATACATCTTCGCTTAGTTTTGTTAAAATCATGTGCTCCCCTAATTGTTTTGAGCAGTGTATATTACTTGTTTTCTTGGCATAATTGTAACAAAAAAAAATGTCAAACATCGCATCGCAAAACAGCAGAAATTTCTTTCAAACAACAATAATGCAACTAAAAAAAATGTTTTTTCCATATTTTTCGAAGTTTTAAATGTCAAAAACGTTATTAAAACTACAAGTCTCTAAATGCCGAATATTGATTCAGACCAGATAGTAATAGTTACTGAACTTGAATTTCACAACTGTCATTAAAACTCAATTAACCTACTTAAATTCCGAACACGGACTAAATTACTGTTTCTATAATTGAATTACTTTTCACCAGATATTTAGTTAAATGGGAGAACTTCTGAATACCAATTTCTGAAGAACTTCTGGTACTGTGATAGGGACTATATATATTCCATTATCTTACATATTTTACAAATATCTAAAGAGAGCAAAATTTTTAAGAACGTTGTCTCTCTCATAAAAAACACGTTTTCCCCTATATTTCCAGTTTATATCCTATTTAAAGCGTAGCATGCAAATTTTATTGCGATAATAGGAATGTTAAATTTGATAGTATTTAATATTTTGCAAATAATTTTTGGGAATAAAATCTCTTTAAAGTTTCAAAAAATACCTGCTATATTAACACTTTTGCAAGGCTTATGAGAAATTTAAATGTTCTAAGAAAATTTAACAAATGACACTCAGAATAGAATCAAACGATTTTTAATAGCTTTACGTAGAAATTAAAATCATGTAGATATTCTTTTCAATTTTTTTTCAAAAGCTAATATAAGGGGAAAAAATATGATTATAAGTTATTTTCCTTTTAAATCAATTATTTGTTAGCAAGATTTTGTATGTCACAAAAGTTACGGCTATGGTTATTTAGTGGTCAAGGTCACGAACTCATAGCCGGTGGGTCATGAGTTCGAGCCTTAGTACTACTGAAGATCCGTAGTGTAAGAGGGGCTGATGCATGAACTAAGTCGAGGCTGAAAGCTCTCCCGTTGACGTGGTGTGGTAATTTGGAAAAAGGAGCTTTCAACTCAGGAGTTATCCTCGTCACTTGACTAAGGTTCAAAATTATACGACGTCTGTCTCCATAGCCCTCGTGTTGCTTTATAGTGCTGTTAATAAACTCATAAAAGTATTAGAGGTAAAATATATTTACTATAGAATAAATGATAAAGGTAAATACCTAAAAGAGATTAGTTTAAAGTTTTATATATACTACAGGACGTTTCATTTAGTGGTTTAAAGGAATATTAAAGTAATAAGTTGTGCATTTTTTTTTAAGACACAATTATTGTAGCTTCAAACACATTTTCATGCACACTTCTTTCATTAATCTTAAAAATTGAGTGGAAAAAGAATTTTATTTGAAGATCAAAAATCTTCTCAAAATAATGTCCTAATTAAAATTTTCTCCTTCTTCTAACATTATTAGTGTTTTAGTAATAGTCAGAGTCAATTAGTGTATTAGTCAAAACACTGACCCTATGTAGAAGAATTTACTTCTAAGATGTTAATGATATAACTAATAAAATCTTTTAAAGTACTTAAAAATGAAGTTTATCTTTATAATTTAAATGTTAAATAAACTTAGAACTTGATTAATCCTATTATTAAATAAATAGTTTTTTTGGAACCAAGTAAACTCTATCGCTTTTCGGTATTCACCGTATTTTTTTTAAAAAAAAATTATATTGCTTTACATAAATATAATAATATAACTTTTGTTGCGGTTGTTTGAATTTTATGATTTATATATATACTGAATGGTACATTTATTTCGGTACTTTCCCGTTAGCCGGGCGCAAATGGCGCCAATTGTGTAACAAACGCAAGCCAAGTCGCCAAGCGAAGCGAATGATAAAACAGTGAACGGAATAAAAGTCGAAAACGTTCAACTATAACCAAATATTAATTAATATTAAGCAAAACAAGTTCAACTATAAAAAAATATTAATGAATTGTAAGCAAAACTGTTTTACCCAAAAAGAATGCTTACTATTATTGGTTTTTCAGAATTTGCTCAAATGGATCGTTTACTACTCGTCTCCTCATAAATTCAGTGAGGAATTTTCATCATTTTTTATAAAACAAAAATTAAGATGGTAGAAAGGAAGGAAAACGTGCCTTGTTTTGAATGAATTAAGAGAATAGGCACATGGCCCTAAGCGAACATTCCCCTTACGGTTGTAAGAAATTTGGTGGAATTCTACATTGTTTGACAATTTTTCGCTTGTGCCCGGCTAACGTAAAAGTACCTTTATTTTTTACTGGCTTCCAAAAATCAGTTCTTAGTAACTTATTCTTATCATTATCGATATATATATATGGGCACAAATTAATTTAGTAAGGTATGTAGGGTCTAAAAATTGCAGGGCATAGCAGTAATTCTTTTTTTTTGTGGGCTCGTTAAAATATTAGTACATATAGTACAGACACTTGCTATGAGAATTATACCTATGATATTGTTTATTTAGAATAGAGTATATGTGTTACACAGGCTCTCATTATGCACATAGACAAAAAATATTCAGTTTTTGAAATAATAACAATATAAAAAGTATGTTATTATGTCCAAAAAAGAAATACGTAATGAAATTGAAAATCGCTGTTATCTTATCTAATCATGATCATAAATGATTACTTTGTAAGGAATTTCTCTTGTGAACTATTTATCTATCTTTTTGTCTGTTTAATTAACTCCGTGAGCTACAATGTTTTCTGATGTAGAATTCTGACTTCCTTTTCATTATTTTTTAAAATGTGGCGAATGCATTTTTGATCTAACCCCTCACTTTTACTTGTTTGCATCGAACGGTGAAAATTCATGTTTTCATCCAAATATATTTCAAAATACATTTAACAATCGATAAACACATCAATTATAAGTTAAAACTAGCATTTTCCCCTCCAGGTTGATCATATAAGAGCTTAATAATTAACTCAATCATTCCTTTAGATTTTTACATTAAACTAGAGGCACCTCCTAATTTAAGAAGACTCAGAAAAAGTAAAGCTTTTCATATAATTTTAAAGGTAAGTTATCATTAAATCTGTTTCCTACGTTTATATTGAACTCAACTCTAAAAACTAGTAAAAAGGATATACGTAAAAGGGAAAAAATGTTTATCTAAAATTATATACTGTTAACTCCTTTGAAGGAATATTTAATAATTATCAACTAAAAAATTACAGTTAAAAAGAAAAAAAACTAAAAAAAACACACGCTTTTATAGTAA